ACGGGAGTTGAGTGGGGGATATAAGCAAGAGAAAGCTGTGCACGCGCACATTTTCTTTCTCTCTTTCTCTTATAGCTAGTAAATGACATATGTATATGTACACACATATATGTATATATATTGTAAACACATATATATACATATATATGTATATATGATAAACAAAATAACAGTTAATGATTAATAAAATATCGATCATTTTAAGACACGTCACTAGTTCGAGGATCATTAAAAATAACTGTATTTATAAAAAGTTAAAACTTCATGCAAATATTTTAAGAAAATTAGAGAAGACTCCTTATAAGATGTACTTCAACGCCCTTTAAGCTTTGTTTGTATTTTTGTAACATCCTGTATATATATAATATACATACATACAGATGGAGCTAAAGAAGTTTCACTTCAGTCGTGTGGTCATAAGCATCCAATCTGGATCGTCGATTTAAGTTTCCAATCAAGCAATAGAATACGTTACGGGTAATGATCTATTATTCATTTCATGCGGTAGAACAGAACACCCACATATCTACCATCTGTCGCGAGCAGCAATGGTTAAACAACATACGGCAAACAATATCTGTGAGTGGTGTGTGTGTTGTTTGTAAATGTTTACACAAACCGTAAACATTTACTTGCAACCGTTCGGCTTGTGTTATCGCAGATTTTCATATAGACCTGATGCTAGTCACACTAGTATCATCATCATCATCAGCCTATTAATGCCCCCACTGCTGGGGCACATGCCTTCCCTATGGATGGATTAGGGAGATTGGGCCATAACCCACCACTCGGGCCCAGTGCGGGTTGGTGGGTGCTAACGACTGTAGATGCAGCCGGGACCAACGGCTTAACCTGCCTTCCGAAGCACGGAGGAGCTCGAGATAGTAATAAAATTTTTGGTCACCCATCCAATGACCGACCACTGCGAAAGTTGCTCAACTTCAACGACCGCAGCCGAACACGCTTACCACTGGCGCCATCGAGCTCCTCTATACACTAGTATACCCCCTTGTTAATACTTTTTACGTACTAGCTTAGCCACGCAAATCAAGTTAACTAATTTGCTCCATTGGTAAGTGCCTAAAACTGTTACCAGCTAGCCAACTAACTACTGTTTCATTACTTTGCCATAACAACGATGCTATTCTCCCATTCTTTTTGTATGTTTTTATGGTAAAAGGGTGGCAAACAAGTGTATGGCCCGCCTGTTGGTAAACTCAAACTCATTTATTCAGTCTAGGCTGTTACAAGCTCTTGTGAAAGTCAAACGCTACGCCATCGGTTTCTTAAATCTACGGCGGAAGACCTTGTACTGAGAAGAACCGGCAAGAAACTATATTTATACGGTATTTCGCCTTAAAACTGGCAAATGTTTAGCCGAGCCTTGGCCTTTTGCTTTCTGCAGCATACATATGGATATTTCATAGCTGATTTCTTGTATCTTTTTTTTTTATTGTATTACTCTGTCTGAAAATGTATTACATATACATTTTCAGACAGAGTAATACAATAAAAAAAGCAAGCTTTATTTGTATTTTTGTTGAAGAAAAAATAATCGAATTATCTATCTAAACTCAGCAAGGGCTATTTTCTTCTCCCTGTTTTGTTTCATACAATGTCGTCAATTGTAAGATGACATCAAAAATTGAAAACATGTGTTGTTGTCAACTTCCATCACATTAACATTATTAATTAACAAAAGTTAAGTATAGCTGGGTACTATTTTTAAATTTAGAAGTGGCGATTAAACAATTTTCAACCAATTTAGCAAAGTAAAACGACTTAGTCTATTATATTAAGCCCAAGGTGACTTATCATTTATGAAATCTTTAACAGCATAGTTACATAGTTACCCTTTCTTAAGGAGACATGTTTTTGTACACACTTCCCAAACATCTCTTATCTATTAGACAAGTCCGTCCGTCCGTCTGTGGTGCTGTTTCAGCGGCCAAACCGTAAGAGATAGATAAAGAGAATATTTAAGTTATAAGTTAAGAATAGTCTGATAAGACTACAAACCGGATTTGAGTAACGTAGCACTTCCGGTTTTCGAGAAATCACGAATTTCAAATGAAACCACACAAAATCTCCGAAGTTCTCAATTAATTAAATACATTTTTTTTTAAATCAGGTTTTGGTGAACATTTGGTTCACTGGTTTGCTAGTTAACTATATATTTTAGCATAGTGACACCAGCATCAGTTGTGGAACGGTAAGCGGCCAACATAGCCTACAGACGCTTGCGATACCAAAAATACCTATCACCGTTGGCTACCCCTGCCCAACCGTAGGGGATCATAGTTTGTAAAATAGTAGCAGTAAAATTGTAAAATAGACCAATAAGATATTTAAACAAAATACAGGACGAAATGAAATAAGCAATGTAATAGATTAAGAGCAAAATGTATAATATGTTGGAAAAGAAATAAGAGAGCGCAAAAAAGAAATAACAAAACATCTAATATAAAAAATTCTCGTGTCGCGGTGTTTGTGGTTAAACTCCTCTGAAACGGCTTTCCCGATTCTCATGAAATTTTGTGTGCATATTGGGTAGGTCTGAGAATCGGACAACATCTATTTTTCATAAATGTTAAGGGTAATCCACCCCTATTTTTTTTTTTTTTTTTTTTTATGATACATCATACAAAAATACATACAACTTCAAATTTTCACCCTTCTCCCACCAACCCCCAGCTAGTATATATATATATATATATATAATGTGGTGCAAAAGAATAAGCACCCAGCGAGAGACAAATTTAAAATTACAGAAACAAAATAGAAAAGAAAGGAAAAAATCCTATTACAAAACGGGGGTAGCCGATTAAAAAAAAATAAAAAAACCCTTCCCCGTGGAGCCGTAGAACCTTACTCACTGACAGAAACCCGACACCAACAAAAGCTAGTGTTATTTTAATGTGATCTTCTGCAATGAGGTTACTTTCCCAGACGAACGCTCTTTATTCGAGCGGAAAATCCGCTACCTGTATTGATGTGTCGCTTTTCCAGAAAACTATTTCTTCATTTATGGTTGTACTGTTATCACACTAATATTTGTTACTAAAGTTTGTGAGTGTGTGAGTGTTTATGTTTGTTACTTCTTCACGTCTAAACGACTGGAGCGATTTCAATAAAATTTGGTATGGAGTTAGCTGATACCCTGTATTAGCATATAGGCTACGTTTTACTGCGGGAAAATATCCCGAATAAACCGCGGGGTAATAATAATAACAATAACAAAGATGGTCTCATAGCGAAGAGTCTCGACCAACATCTAAAGAGCCTCTCGCTAGATGGTTGGGTCAAGGGGCAGATGCAAAAGGCAGTACTCCTGGACACAGCGCGCATCGGCAGGCGGTTACTTTCTCTGCGGCCCTAACCACCGGTAGCTTGGGCTTAGCTCCGCTGCTGGTGGCCTTCTGTGTTAGGTTTATTATACTATATTTATTTTTGTATTTACGTTTTTGTATTTTACTTTTAAATCTATTTTATAAAAAACCTAACTGTAAAATGAAATAAATGAGAGTATAATAATTATAAACACTTTACTGCTCACAGACAAAAGGACATAGGTACAAAGAATACATTTAAAAATAATATGGGCAAAGGCGGGCACAGCTAGTGTTTCGATAAAGCCGTTCGTTTTGTATTGAAGCGAACGGACGTGACGGTATCAACTGGTATTAACACGGCAGGCCGCGCGTATTGCCAACTACTGGGAGAATGATTCGCTGTAAAAGCAATGGCATGGAAAACGGGCCAAAACACACAGCGTGCCCTTGTTGCACACTGACTGACACAATATACAATGGGAAAACGAAACCAGACAGCTAATGCCAGAAATTTCATGCCGCTTCTATGTATGTCTGATCGATCTGAGTTTCCATTTACTACTACAGCCATATCATGGCACCGATACCAAATATTAATTTGAATATAAAAATACTTTAGACTTAAGTAAAGAAAATGTCATCATCAATCACCACTGATGGAGCACAAGCCTTTCCTGTGAATGGAATAGGGAGGATGAGCCAAAACCCACTACGCACGCCCAGTGTGGATTTGTGGGAGCTAACGACTGCAGATGCAGCCGGGACCAACGGCTTAACGTGACTTCCGAAGCACGGAGAAGCTCGAGATAGTAATAAAATTTTTGGTCACCAATCCAATGACCGACCACTGCGAGTTGCTTAATTTCAACGATTCAGTTGCGCTATGACCTTAATACACCATCAACAGTTTCCAAATTAGCCCGTGACGGACTTCTACTATCTGCTCTAGAAAGGTATCTGACACATTCTATATGTTTATTTGACGACCTCCGTGGTCGAGTGGTTTGTACGCCGTGTTTTATGATGTCGCCTACTCGAGAGGTCCCGGGTTCGAATCCCAGTGGGGGCAGATGTTTGGGTGATGAACACATTTGTACCCCCAGTCATGGATTTTTAATATGTATTTCAATATAAATATACTTATAAATGTACAGTATATGTATTCTATTTTTACCTACCGTTACCCTAGTATCACATATCATAAGTACAGTGCTTACTTTGGGGCTAGGCTAATAATTAGCCTATTATTATTGGTGTGTGTATGTTGGAAATATTTTTTTATTTACTCCCAGACCAATATCATCGAGTTATTTATTTTATTTATTTATTTTAAACTTTATTGACCAAAATACAAAACAATGGTACAAAAGGCGGACTTAATGCTAATAGCATTCTCTCCCAGTCAACCTTTGGGAAAAAAGAAAAACGCGAACGGCGGTATAAAGCTAAATATACACATAAATATTGAAATAATAAATAATATTAAAATATATACGAATTAACATAGATACATATATAAATAGATACTACTTACGAAAGGAATACACATACATACATACATAGTTATCACAAAGATCTTATAAAAAAATACACATAAGCTAAGATATGATAACTTTGCGGAAAATATTCAATAAAAAACTAAAATACTTATAGCTAATTATAACTTACCGTTTCTATTTTTCTCATTTGACTCATCGGCCTGTTGATTCCAGCCATATCTTCATAAAACTCTTTAACAAATTCAGAAATAATAAACCAAATTAATGCCTGTGTACACAGAAGTTAATGAACTTGACGTTTTATTGACAAAATTGTATGTCATAACCGTTGCTAGGGGTTGTTCTTTGTTGCCTAGCAAAAAGGTAGCTTATACCCATGGGCGAATGATTCCGCGCTATGCTTAAATAAACCGCTAGATGGTTGGGTCAAGGGGCAGATGCAAAAGGCAGTACTCCTGGACACGGCGCGCATCGTCAGGCGGTTACTTTCTCTGCGGCCCTAACCACCGGTAACTTGGGCCTAGCTCCGCTGCTGGTGGCCTTCTGTGTTAGGTTTATTATACTATATTTATTTTTGGATTTACGTTTTTGTATTTTACTTTTATATCTATTTTATAAAAAACCTAACTGTAAAATGAAATAAATGAGAGTATAATAATTATAAACACTCTACTGCTCACAGACAAAAGGACATAGGTACAAAGAATACTTTTAAAAATAATATGGGCAAAGGCGGGCATAGCTAGTGTTTCGATAAAGCCGTTCGTTTTGTATTGAAGCGAACGGACGTGACGGTATCAACTGGTATTAACACGGCACGGGGCAGGCCGCGCGTATTGCCAACTACTGGGAGAACGATTCGCTGTAAAAGCAATGGCATGGAAAACGGGCCAAAACACAGAGCGTGCCCTCGTTGCACACTGACTGACACAATATCCAATGGGAAAACGAAACCAGACAGCTAATGCCAGAAAGTTCATGCCGCTACTATGTGTGTCTGATCGATCTGAGTTTCCATTGTTCCATTAGGGGTTGTTATTTGTTGCCTAGCAAAAAGGTAGCTTATACCCATGGGCGAATGATTCCGCGCTAGGCTTAAATAAACCCCTTTAATTTATTTTTAATTCAAAACCAAATAATGGTTGAATACTTTTTTCGGTTTTCGTGACTTCGATGAGCATAGAGTCTGTGCGGAAAGAGAATGGGATTTAGATTGGAGGGCGCTGTAGTGCTTTTCTACCGTATTTGTAGGGTTTTACCCTTTTAGACATGATTAAATACAAAAAACCGCAAGAAATCGCAACAACAAACAAATCCGTATCAATACAAAACTTTGACGTTTTACAGATTGCTGGGTTTCATTGCCAAATAAAAATCTTAATGATAGTTCCGTTTTTCGCCACGCCCATTCTCTTTTCCACTCTAGTTCTGCTTTTGTTCATTTGTGTCGTTTGTTATATTTATCTAAGTGACCGGTGTCACTTTAATCACACTATGCAAACCTGCAGATTAATATTTAACGTCATCAGGAAAGTTACGTGAACTCTCCATTAACTCCTATTCAAAAGAGTGACGATTTGGACGCCACTAAAAGTCATGACCGATTGTTATATTTTTTGCTGTCCTACGTTCTTCCCTATACAGAAGGCTCAGGTATAGTACTGGTACTTCGCCAAGATGCAAGGTTGTCGTTGTTTGTTGATTTCTCCCCTACTAAAAATATAGACTTAGAATTATATATGTATATTATAACTAGCTGTGCCCCGCGGTGTTACCCGCGGTTTATTAGGGATCTTTTCCCGCAGTAAAACGTAGCCTATGTGTTAATCCAGGGTGTCAGCTAACTCCATATCAAATTTTATTAAAATCGCTCCAGCCGTTTAGACGTGAAGAGGTAACAAACATACACACTCACACACTCACAAACTTTCGCCTTTATAATATTAGTGTGATTAGAATTATATAAATGTTAAACAAATTTGAATAATAATATATAACTCGTGCACGTGTTCGTGTTTCGTATTCACATTGAAGAATTCACAGAGAAAAGTATTATATATATTTTTCACTGGCAAAAGTACAAACCGTATAAACGGTTTTGTTAACTTACGAGCTTCTCAAGAACGCCTACGGCTGTAGGCCTCCCTAACTTACGACAAGTTTAAATTCAAGTGTCACATACCACCGTGAATAACGTTTTTATACGAGCACGTATCAAGGCCTCATGTCCACAAAATAAACATATGGAGAAGGTCGGATTCAGGGGGGTGAGATAAAATGTATTCTTTCTATATTTTAACGAAAATGTTAATTTTAAGTTGAAAATTAAGTAATGAATAATTAAATAACTTCGGTGTCGTATGATCTTTATGTATATTTGAATTATTGCATGGTCTTTTTAAAGGTTATTACTTAATTTTAAACTTTTTGAATAAAATTAGCGTTAGTGTCGCTCGAATTTAAAGACGGCCTCTTAACTACGGTGCGACAGATTGTATTTCCTACTTGCAGTCGTAGTTCGTAGTGCAATGGTTTTCGGTGTGTAAACATAACCAAATGAAAGGTGACATCATGAATCATCTGATGCGGCGGCGGCGTATATCAGATGATTCATGATGTCACCGTTCATTACATATTGATTAAATATACATTAATTGTTTACCTGCATTTTGATTGCTGTGTCATACAGTATAAATACAAATGATGAAAAAGCATTCAACGGGTAGGGCCCGAATACCATTGTCGCCAGGGGATCTCGCGCGGTACAAATTAACAGTCACAGCATTCTGTAAATAATAAAACAGGGAGAAAAAAACAGCCCTTGCTGAATTTCTTGCCGGTTCTTCTCAGTACAAGGTCTCCCGCCGTTGATTTACGAACCGAGATGGCGTAGCTTCTAGACATTCATGAATGCTTGTAACACCCTAAACTGAATAAATGATTTTAATTATTATGATTATGATTATTCCAACACAAGTAAACGAGATGCTTGAGCACGTTGAATGGAGGAAAATCCAGTATGCCCTAAGAGGGGTAGGGCAGGCGGAATTGGAGCGCCCTTTAAGGGTAATAACCTCTTACAGAAGACACAGTAAAATAACACTACCTTTTTTTGGTGTGGTTTCTGGAGTAAGGTTCCAGAGCTCCACGGGGTAGGTGATTGGGTCAAAGTAGACAACGGCGCGAGGGGTATTTTTGATATTGCAAGCGTCTATAGGTTATGGTGTCCGCTTACCATCAGGCGGACCGAATGCTTGTTTGCTTTTTTTATGTTTAATAGGCCTAGGATGGTACACGCCTGCCTAGAAGATGCCTAGTTACTCTGGCCTTGAAGATGTCCAGATTATATTGGTCCGGGATAACAGACCTCGGTAAAGAGTTCCACTCCCTAGCCGTTCACATAATGAAAGCGGAAGCAAATCGCTTAGTGCGAATGGGAGGAACTTGGACAACATAAGGGTGAAAGCCCTCGCCGCGCCTGGTCGTCCGGTGGTGGAAAGGGGTAGGGGGAATCAAATTGTGTAATACCTCCGCACACTCTCCGAAATGTTACCGATAAAACACCGAGAGGCAAGCACACGTCTTCGGTGATCAAGGCTCTGGAGATTAGCCTCAGCGAGAGCGTCATTGCCAATGAGTCTCTTCGCACGGTGTTCCATCGAGTCCAGTGCATCCAGCTGATACCGAGCAGATACATCCCAAAGGTGACAACAGTACTCCAAGCAGGAGCGAACTTGGGCTCGGTAAAGGTTAAGGAGCTGCTCAGATGTAAAATATCGCCTGACCTTAGAAACTATTCCAAGTTTTTTGGCAGCGGTTTTAGCAATGGACTCGATGTAGATGATCTTAAAATAAAAAGAAGATATAAATATGGGGGTGATGAGGTAAGTGTAATAACACTACTTTTTGGAGGTGCTGTGGTGAGTTTCTGTTGGTAAGTAAACTTTCCATCCACGCGGTAGGGGAGTAGAGTCACGGCGTGTTTGATTGCCAACAAGGAGCCCACATCGTCGTCAACAGCAAGGAGAGGGCAGATCCCGGAGTTAGAGTGGGTAGGGACCCTCCATCCCGAGCTGCCAATTAGCCAGCCTTAGGGTTGGTTGAATTGCGCGGCCATTCGGAGACGGGTGCCGCGACCACATGTCGGGTGACTGTGTAGAAGTACTGTCAGGATTTTAGTGGCCCTGTTCAGGGCGTAGGTAGGGCCCTGTTCACTTTAGCGAGCTCCGGGGTTGGCTGAAGGGGACAGTGAGGAGTCCCACATACCCTCAGTGGCTGGAGGATGCGTAAGGCATTTCCCAGACACAAAACAAAAAGGTTGGTTGAATGGGCTGGTGGTGGGGGGAAGAGTCCCACATAACCTCGTCGACTTATCCAGCGGCGGCGTATGTGTAAAGTATTTCTCCAGGTAAAAAAAATAAAAAATGTGTGAACAGACCACACATCTGAAGTGAAACTTCTTAAATAACCTAATATTAGGCGGTGCACAAGGCATAGGGAAGGCAATAACGGCTGGAGTGGCCAACCTTGCCGTTTGCATGATCTAGACCTAAAACTTAACATCGGTTGGTGTAAAGGAATTTTCTGAGCTTTCCCAGGTAAAAAGCGAGTGTAGGCCACTTATATTTAATCAAAGCTAGATCGAAAACCACAAGCCATCTCCAGGGACGCTTCAGTATTCTGGTAAAGTGAGCAATCATTCTACGGTATTGTAGGTAACCTTTAACCTTTTTGAGGTTTGCATCATTGTGTTCCTTAAGTAACAATATCCGGGAATATGCTACGTCACAGGTATCTTACAGAGTGGGAAATTCCGCGCCTCCTTTTTGCAAAAGCTCTTGTCTGTCGCTGTTCAAGCTCTAATGAAAAAGTCCTAAATTAAAGTGAACTTTGACACAGAACATATATAAACAGAAGGATGATTCCGGTGCAGAGCAAAAATGCTTTAGATGAAACCAGTGACATGAAACGTGAAAAATAAGAGCAAAAAGTTGTAGTTGCAAGCTATAAGAATTCAGAGTTATCTTTAAGTATCGCCGCACACGGGCCACCGACCACAACCACAAAACGCCGCCACCGGCATATTTCTTGTAGTTTTCATACATTTTATATGGACTCGCCACACACGGTACGCCGGTGGCCGCCACACGCTACATATCGTCGTTGCTCGCATCTTGTGGCCCGCACCGGCCACTTAATGCGCCGATACAAAACGCCGCCACACGTCACTCGCGCGATACCCCACCCCTCTCTGCCTTGCCTTAGTCGGCCGCTGTCGCGCGCTTCAGCCACTTTACTAGCCGCTTCTAGCTTCTCGTGGCGACGTTAGTGGCTGTGGCGT